AATAATTATAACATCTTCTAAGGAACTCAACCGATTATTTTCAAACTGTGGTTTCCAAAACCTTAAGTGCTTCTCCCTTTCAATCTTGTGGATGCTTCCAGGATTCCAAATTGCCTTAAATAATTCTTCCCCACTACATAATTAATATTATGATTGCAAGTGAGCCAAATATTTTCTAAAATTTATTCTTGGTATAGCCAACATTCTTTCCAGATGAACTCAACTTGTAGGCCCTCATGTGTCATGCATAGGGCTGGGTACCGAGTTCGGTACTTTTTAGGTACCGACCGAATTGCCTCGATACTACCGAGTATCGAAACATGTCTTGTTTTTCGGTACCACATTTCGGTACCTAAGTGGTTAATCTCGTCAACGTCAGTGAAACAATAAGCATGCAGCATTGGCTGTGGCGGAAAAACACTAGTTTACGCGGCTGCCCAGAGACGCGGCTCGTCGCACGTGAGGCTGCAGTGTGTGTGTGTGTGTGTGTGTGTAAGCGTGCGTCCCAACCCAGATAGATAGAAAATATGTGGAAATGATCCAAAGTGTACCTATGTCATGTGCCAGACTCGATGCCAGATGCACGCGATGCAATATTTTCGACAAGATCATTGCTGCCAAGACCGGCAACACGGTAAATCTAGGCACTGAAGCGCACAAAATACACTTGAGAGTAATGGTGTTCACATCGAACGCGAATAGAGCGTCAAATACGCGTCTATCGCATCTAGTTCGACGGTTGAATCTTTAGCTCGAGTTCAAATTTTTCAACTTGCGCGGAAGACGTTCGCGGCAAACGCGTCGCCCAATTCGCGTCATTCGCGACGCCCGGCGCGAATGATGCGTCTATTCGCGTCTTTGCATTGACTATGTATGTAATCTACTCGCACAAATAATTAAATTCGCGTTCGGTGTGAACACACCATTAGTAAACACTTGTTCATTAATAAACAATTAAAATATCTCCTTGCTATTGTTTCCACATCCATAATCATTAGGCTACTTTTGCCAGTGCTTTGCTGCAAGCTTCACGTGCAGGTATATATCCCGCCCCCCAGTAGCCTATATTTAATTTAATTCACATTTATTTGTATAGCATTTTTCACAATACATATCGTTTCAAAGCAGCTTTACAGAAAATGCATGTCTAAATTACAATTTAGAGTGATCTGTTATCAGAGGTGACAGTGTAATGCATTTCAATTAATTTTCATTCAGTTTCATCGTTAATTAATGCATTAAGTTAAAGCAGAAACAATGAGCTCATTGAAGTAAAGAATACATGTTGTTAAATGATTAGGAAACATAGAAAACTTTAGCATTGGTGCTTTTTTACATATTCAAAATATGAGTGTAAAAAAGTCCAACAAACTGAAAAAAAAATTAGGTAATGTTATATTGTTAAACCTGGTTACATAAAATTGGTATCGAAAAAAGTATCGTTCAGGAACCGGTATCGAAGTCAAGGTATCGGTATCGGTATCGGTACCGAACATTTTGTTACGATACCCAGCCCTAGTCATGCACCAGGGATATATGGACCTCATATTTTACACATCACTGTGAAGCAGACATACTGAAAAAAACAAGAGGATGGCACATCCTGTAGCCGGCCCATCACATATCTAAAAGAAAAACAGCACATTTAACATTAATGTGTACACATGTGTGTGTTTACGCATGTATGTGCTTTTTTTGCAGGCGGTCAGACGTTCTAATCTAAGAGACTGAATGTTTTGTTCTGTATTGATGGCGTCAATCATTAAAAGCCTCTCCGTAGTAATTGTCCTCATACTTGCATTGAACCACTGTTGTTGAGAAGCAGATTGGTGTATCTACAGAGAGATTAATGGACAGGACACTCCGACAGCCGTAAACACTCCATGCTGTCCCTTCCATAGGAAATAGAAAGAAAAAAAAGAGCTGATGAAATATTGAAGTAGATTTCAAAAAGCTAGATGTTTTTGCCATCGCTCTGAATGTTCTCCTCTCATTAACCTTCTTATATACTTTTTCTCCCTTCTTTTCCAGTTCCTCACTGATAATTGTATTTGAGTGATCGAGTTTTTAGGGAATTTCTTATGACCAATAAATTGGAAAGGTTTACAAATAATATTTCCAGACTTCCCATAATCCTTCCCATGAAATCACTTTGCTGGCACATATCGAAGGACTTGTCCCTTATTTTAATTGCCAATAGCCATTAGAGACATCACAATCTTAAACCATGATTTGCTACTTGCTAATCTATTGCAGGTGGTATTAGATTACATTCTTATTCTAGAGAGCATTTGATTGCACTAAGGTCTGTGTAGTGTAACATGATGTCATTAATATTTTTAATACATTTTCACAAATGAAAGACCTCATGATTATAATAATTTGAAGGTGAAATTTTGATGTCCTCATCCTTCAGTGCCATTTTATTGAACACAAGACCTTGAACATATATGTTTTCTCTTTCTCGCTCTCTTTTTTTGTTGCTTTTTAAAAATATTTTCCTTCTTAACTCATGGACTACTTCGAAACTGTCATCTGTCATTGTATTAAGTATATGAAAAAATATACTTACTACAAAACTTAATTAATTAACGCTATATTATATCTGCTAAATGAATTAATGTAAATGTAAATTAATGCTATATTAATAATTAAGTATTAATAATTAGTAATAAAACAATTATCTAATGAGATTTTTTTGTTGAACATTTCTCAAAGTAAATTAGTGCAAGAGTGCAAAATGAACGTCGATACTTTGGTCTTGAAATAATTTGATGAGAAATGATTGAGTTCATATTGAAGTCTCTGACTTTTTGATTGTAGACATGATATCAAATGTAAATCTGCACTGTAAAAAATGTTATGTGCTATCGACTTTTTTTTAAAAAATATGGTAATAATATTACACATGATTATTTTTAAGTCGTTTTTAAGGCTTGATTTGTTTATTGTCATCTAATAAATCATGTAAAATCTCCTAAATTATTTAGTCTATGACACAATGAATTTTATGTTTTTGGTGAAATGTTTAATTAGTTGACTGAAATGTGTGTGACTTTGAGTTAACGGAAATTACCCGTTTGTATTTGACTTTGAGTCATGTTGTACAATTAAAAGACTGCACAGCACAAGTAGAAACAAACTTATATACACTGGCATTAGTAAAGCTATTGGTCAATAAACCAAGCAACATGCTTTTTAGTATTAATACATGCCGTTATCCACAACCTATAAGCTCTACTCTTCTTCACAATGGTAATGATCAAAAGTTCAAAACTACAGAAACTCTTTTAAATGTCAAACTGATCATTAAACATTAACAGATATTTTTCCTTCACTCAAATGTCAAACATAACTGATCATTAAACATTAACAGATATTTTCCCTTCACTCAAAAACACATAAAATATAATTTCATTTGAATATTTACTCTCCATTTCCAGCCATATCTACCATGCTTCATTGCTGTCAAGGAGAAACAACTAAGATATTAAAGATCTCATTTTCATTTTGGATCAAAACACATTAAAATGCTATTTTAACATACAATGACTTGAATACCTCTTCTATGAAAGAAAAGAAAAAGATACAAAAAACGCAAAAAAAAATTATATCTTAGAGAAGACCCCTGCAGACCCTCATGGTATAGATACGGTAAGTATATGTGTATATATATATATATATATATATATATTGTATGTATAATCAGGCCTTGACATGAACTTTTTGCTCACCAGCCACTATGGCTAGTGGTTTTCCAAAGTTACTAGCCACTCAGCCTTTTCACTGGCCACAATTTTGAAATCGTTACCATGGGGTAAAACCGCCATATAGATATTTGTAATATCATTTCATAATTTGGCAGCAGGCATATTAGGCTCCTGTCACTTTAAGACCTGACTTACAGATTCATTATACTGTTATACAACACAACATAACTGACTGTATATGTGAATACTTGCCAAGACCAGCATTTTGTCATTATTTTCTGTGTATTTGACTGTTTAAGCACAATATATAAGCAGTGACAAAAACTAAATTTAGTACAAGGCGGCTTATGCGTGCACTTTGGGTGTGACTGCACAAAGTAAAATTATGTGCATTACGCACAATGCCACGCTGAAATTCAAGCCCTGTAACACCAACAATATTCATCTGGAGCAAATGAATCGAGTGAGTGAGTGGAGACGGGTTTGTGTGTCAACTCGCTGTTGAAGAGATGAGAGAGTGAGAAAGTGCAGCTGGTATCGTGTATCTATTCTGCGGAAAATGAGTATTGAAAGTGATATTTCAGTATCAATATGTATTGAAACATCTATATTTTTGACAACACTACATTGCACTTAGATTATTATTTCAGATGCCCTTTTAAAAGACTATAACTGAAAAATTTATAGCCTATATTATTTATAAAATTCAACCCACTAAAGTAGCTAGTAGGAGTGACTGTGTTACACGCCACTGGGTTGGTGGGTGTCAAGCCATGATTAAAATATGTAAAAAAAAATATATATATAAATATAAAATATGTTTTTAGAGTCATTAAATTTAAACTTTTCAAAGACAACATAAACATTTGTTGGCACATGTGTTTTGTGGACACCAGTATGTGTCATTGACCCATTTTCTTATGGGTCTGCTTTTCCTGACTGTCTCGTAAAGATTGCGTCTATGTTTATGTGCGCAGTTCTAAGGAGAAAGGCTGGAATTTGGCAGCTATTTTAAAAGCCTTTCTTAGTTTAGACTGCATCTCTCTCCATCCATCCTAACATCTACATGTCTCTTTTCTGGCAGCGTCTCATGAAAGGTTATGGATCAGACCTTTTGTTCCTGCATACTATCTTGGCTATTTCCACTGCATTGCCAAAGCAGTTATTCTTGTTCCCATTTACTAACAGGAAATGAAACAGCAAACCTACTGTAAAAACAGGCTCAGGCAGTCATTACTACATCGTATCCTGGTGTTAGTCTAATTTTTTGGTTGTCTCAATGTGAATAACAGGCAGTATAAGTGGCAGATCTTCATTATCCTGACAGTCAAATCCATTGATCTTTAGCATTACTTCTTAGTATCCAGAACACATTGTAAAGGCTTTCATCAAATCACACACTCTAATCAATCACAAAGAGGACAAAGAGGTATTCAACTGAAACCCCTAAATCTCTATTCATCACTAATGCAACTTTCAAGGCTACTAAAAAGGACTTGAAGGATCTCTAATGATCGCATGGTCGAGGCAACAACTTCTGCCTGTACTGTGGTCCATCCTTCAAGCCCCTTTCTAAAGAGCTAATCAAGAACCCTTGAAAGAGAGATTTTTATGACATTCATGATGAATTGAATTGCAGGTTTGATCTTTGACCTTGAGCTTGATTGTCTTAGAGATGAGATGGAAACCTTGAAAAAAGGAATCTGCTCTGTGTGGCACGACCTCTCATCAAGGTCTCGTAAATGAGAGCTTTGAAAGGAGCAAAAATCCCGGGTCTCATAAAGTGAGCCTGCAAATTTTGCCTTTAGTCTGTGTTTGTGTGTGTGTGACTAGGTGTCCTTTGTTGCTCAAGGTCATAGGGAGTCAGAATATTGGGTGGTCTGAAAGTTCATATTCAGAAACAGATGAAAATGAGGCACTTGCAATTTTACTAGCGAACAAATGAAACATCTGGAGGTCAAGTTATTTCCATATCAATCAGAGATATGTTGCATGGGCCACACACATTCAGTCACAAACATTCTCACATGGGTCTTTCTCATAAAAACGACTTCCAGTTTTACATGCTACACAACTGACACTACAGAACTGGTGAAATGTTTGTAACGTGGACACTCATTAATTACAGATGTTTCAATTAAGTATGTACAAGTATGGAAGCCCATTTAATGCCTTAAAGGGATAGTTCACCTAAAAATGAACAATTTTTTCCAAAATTAGTAATTTACTCACCCTCATGTTGTTAGTTGTTACAAACCCATAAAACATCTTTTGAAATACACATTAAGATATATTTGAAAATATGAGAGATTTCTGTGCCACCCATCGAAAGTCCATTTAACCATAACTTTGACACTTCAAAAAGTTAATAAAAAGTTAAAGTAATTCATATAAATCATTAAGCATGTTTCTAACATGCTTACTTGATGCGCGAGACAAACCTTACTGGTTCTCGAGAGTCAAGCAAGCATGGTTTGGCTTGCATTTAATATATTTGATTAGCTCGTGCATTGATCAATGTGTGTGAATATGTGAATAAAAGCCTAAATTTGATGTGTTAATCATAAATTAAATTTGATTAATATGGATTACTTTTACAATGTCTTCATGAGCATTTAAGCGTCAAAGTTTTGGTGGAAAGGACTTAAAATGGAGGGAGAGTAATCTTTGAGGTTTCATTAAAAAGATCTTAAGTTGTGTTTCAAAGATGAACGAAAGTCTTAAAGAATTGTAATGGCATGAGGGACTTGAGTATGAGTATGATTTTTGAGTGAACTTTCACTTTAAAGTAAAATAAAGTAATTGTGAGATAAAGTTTAAAAATAAGAAATAAAACTGCAATTAGGAGACATAAAGTAGGGCTACCAATTATAAAAAATACAGTCAATTCCTTTATATTTTATTGTTTTCTTTGAGGCGGAAATAGGCTTCTATACAGACACTCCTTCATTAAAGAAAATTCACATCCCTTTAATATGCAAAATCTCTCCTTAACAACAACAACAAGATTAAATGAAGAGCAAATGGAAATCAAACTTTCCCTAAATATCTGAAACGGTTATGCTCTGTTATGTCCTGTTTTTTTTTTTCGTTTTCACTCTGTTTTCTCTGTACCTGTTTTCCTTAGTTCCCTAGTTAGACAGAAAAAATCATAGATTTTTGAGTTCAGCTCATGAAAAAGGGGGGCAAAAACAAAAGTGTTGTGTTTATAATTTTGTTCAATGTACACAAACATGTTTTCTCTCAAATATTGTTCACAAATCTGTCACAAATTTAGTGAGCACTTCTCCTTTGCCGAGATAATCCATCCACCTCACAGGTCTGGCATATCAAGATGCTGATTAGACAGTATGATTATTAAACAGGTGTGCCTTAGGCTGGCCACAATAAACGGACACTCTAAAATGTGCAGTTTTACTGTATTGGACCCACCCCCCCACCCCCCCTCTGAAAAAAAAAAGGTTGCTGACTGTGGCCTGTGGAATGTTGGTCCACTCCTCTTCAATGGCTGTGCGAAGTTGCTGGATATTGGCAGGACCTGGAACACGCTGTCGTATACGCAGATCCAGAGCATCCCAAACATGCTCAAAGGGTGACATGTCCGTTGAGTATGCTGGCCATGCAAGAACAGGGATGTTTTCAGCTTCCAGGAATTGTGTACAGATCCTTGCAACATGGGGCCTTGCATTATCATGCTGCAACATGAGGTGATGGTCGTGGATGAATGGCACAATGAGCAAGAACGACGAGCATGCAGATGAGCTTCCCTGAGACGGTTTCTGACAGTTTGTGCAGAAATTCTTTTTTTATGCAAACCGATTGTTGCAGCAGCTGTCCGGGTGGCTGGTCTCAGACGATCTTGGAGGTGAAGATGCTGGATCTGGAGGTCCTGGGCTGGTGTGGTTACACGTGGTCTGCGGTTGTGAGGCCGGTTGGATGTACTGCCAAATTCTCTGAAACGCCTTTGGTATGGCTTATGGTAGAAAAATGAACATTCTATTCACGGGCAACAGCTCTGGTGGACATTCCTGCAGTCAGCATGAATGAATGTGTTTTGGGATGCTCTGGATCGGCGTATACCCAATACAGTAAAACGAATCGGTTACCTAACGTAACCTCGGTTCTCTCTAGATGAGGGAACGAGTATTGCGGGAAAGATTCATCTTTTCTAAATTATTGAAGCCAAAAAATTATCCTTAATTTTGTATCCATTGTCAACGCAGTGCAGCAGCTGCAGACCTTGAGCGGGCTATCTAGCGAGCTCATTGGTCGCTCTGCGGGAACTGCTGCAGCCTATGGACAGACAGAATGAACTCGCGTCCAATGAGAGGCGCTCGCGCCTTCATCACGTCACAGCCCGCCAAACTGGGCGTGGCTAGAGTGTATATTAGAGCGGTCCAAAGGCTGCCTCCCTGGTTTTCATAGAATGAAGCGAAAAACGCTCGTGGCGCGAGCACGGCCGGCTACGCAATACTCGTTCCCTCATCTAGAGAGAACCGAGGTTACGTTAGGTAACCGATTCGTTTTCTTACGAGAGGTTCTCTCGTATTGCGTAAGCTAGCTTACGCTACGGGAACCCATTGTCAACGCCGTGCGCGCCAAGCATCCACAGCATGAGCCCAGTGGGAGAAAACCCCGGGGAGCCCTATGAGTGGGGAAAGCATTTTAGCCAGCAAAAGCGCGGGCCAGTGTGAATGCAATACATAAGCACATAGCGGGAAGAGAGACAGAGCGGTAGTGCCGGTCTGTGGAGAGTTTCCCATCAGTGCAGCTCACCAGGAGAGCTTTAGCGTATTAGACCGCTAGCAATTTAGCCTGCAGGGCGGGTACTTCCAGATTGTAAAATCTGACAAAGGTAGAGGGGGAAGCCCAGCCCGCTGCCACACATATGTCGTGAATGGAAATCCCGCTGGACCACGCCCACGATGAGGCCATGCCTCTAGTGGAGTGAGCCCTAACGCCCAAAGGGCATGGCAGGTCTTTTGATGCATACGCAGCAGCAATAGCGTCCACTATCCATCTAGACAGTGTCTGTTTCGAGGCGGCGAGACCCTTGGTGCGCCCTCCGAACGAAACGAAAAGCTGCTCAGTGCGTCTGAAAGAAGCAGAGCGCGCAGTATACAATCTCAGTGCTCTCACAGGGCAGAGGAGATTGGCGTCACATTCGCTATTGGATGTTGGCAGAGCCGATAGAGAAATGATCTGCGCTCTGAACGGGGTACCGATAACTTTGGGGACATAGCCGTGTCTAGGTTTCAAAATGACCTTGGAGTCATTTGGTCCAAACTCAAGACACGCAGTGCTGACAGACAGCGCATGAAGGTCTCCCACACGTTTAACTGATGACAAGGCAGTCAGAAAAACGGTTTTGAGTGAAAGGTATTTCACATCCACGGATTGAAGCGGTTCGAAAGGAGGGGCTTTCATAGCTTCGAGAACTATAGAAAGATCCCAGATAGGAACCGATGGGGGGCGCGGGGGGTTCATCCTTCTAGCTCCCCTGAGGAAACGGATGACCAGCTCGTTTTTTCCCAGTGACTGGCCATGCAGGGGTTCAGCGAACGCCGCGATGGCCGCCACGTATACTTTGAGCGTGGATGGGGACCTGCCCTTATCCAATAGCTCTTGTAAAAACACGAGCAGCGGCGAAACCCCACATGTCCGTGGGTCCAGATCTCTGTCGGTGCACCATTTCAAAAACACAGACCATTTGGACGCGTAGAGTCTTCTCGTAGAGGGAGCTCTAGCGTGTATGATAGTGTTCATAACGCCCTCTGGCAAAGCGACGGGTAGTCGTTGATCGCCCACGCGTGCAGCGCCCAGCGCTCTGGGTGGGGATGCCAGATCGTGCCGCGAGCTTGAGAGAGGAGATCTGATCTCACTGGAATGGGCCACGGGGCTGTCAGTGACAGCTGCGTAAGCTCCGGAAACCATGTCTGATTCTCCCAGCGCGGGGCTATGAGGAGCACCGAGCAGCGCGTTTCCCTGATCCTCTGTATTACCTGTGGTAATAGCGAGATGGGAGGGAAGGCGTAAAGCGGGCGGTTGGGCCAGTCCTGGGCCAGCGCGTCCTCGCTTTTCGAGAAAAACACAGGGCAGTGAGAGTTCTCTTCTGACGCAAAGAGGTCTATCTCTGCTCTGCTGAATAGGCGCCACAGCATCTGGACTGTTAGAGCGTGCAGAGACCATTCCCCTAGGGGAATATTGTCTCTGGACAGTCTGTCTGGGCCGTTGTTCAGATGGCCTGGCACATGCGTCGCTCTCAGCGAGCGCAGATGGCCCTGGGACCAACTCAGTATGCG